GTCAGCCTAGCTCACAGCAACCTCAAACTCCTGGGCTCAAACAATCCTCCTGCCTCAGCCTCCCAGGTAGCTGGGACTACAGGCACGCACCACCATGCCCGGATAATTTTTTCTATTTTTAGTTGTTTGGCCAATTTCTTTCTATTTTTGGTAGAGACGGGGTCTCGCTCTTGCTCGGGCTGGTCTCGAACTGCTGAGCTCAAACGATCCACCCACCTCGGCCTTCCAGAGTGCTAGGATTACAGGCGTGAGCCACCTCACCTGGCCTCACTGTCCTCTCTTGTTCCACTCATTTCTTCCCCTTACAGCAGTTTGTAAACCTCAGCTTCATTGACATTTTAGGCTGGGTAATTCTTTGTTGTGCAAATAGGACATTTAGTGGCATTCTTGATCTCTGTCCAGTAGATATTAATAACATCCTTCCTCCCCAACCCAGCTGTGACAATGAAAAATGTCTGCAGACATTGCCAAATGCCCTCTGGGGGAAAATCTCCCCTGTCCCTGGAGAACCACTGCATTAGCGTGAACCTATGTTTAATGAACTTCCTTCCCATCTTAAAAATAGCCAAAGGAAAATAAACTTACTTCTTTTTCCCCCTCAAACTTCCATCCTGTCTCTCTGTCGCTCACTGACAATATATGTTTGTGCTTTGCCTTTCTCCCAGAGGCCCTAACACTTGGCTTTTGGCTGTCATTACATCACACTTACAAAATTGATTGCTTGAAGGTCACACAAAGAGATCAAAAATCCTTTTGAGCCCTGATTCTACTTTTCAGATTTCATCTTGTTTTCCACCTTTTATTTTTGAAATTCTCTTTTCTGCACTGCCACTGTGCTTTCTTAGTTGTCATCCCACATCTCTGACTTGGCTGCTTGTTTTTCTTCAGCCCTCCTTTAAATTATAGGTATCTCCTAAAACTATTTTATTCATGCTCACCTAACCCCACTGTTAATGCTCTTGAGTGTCCAACTCCAGCCTTGACGTGACACCTAGTTCTGGTAATTTAATGGCTGCCGGGAATCTGATGAGTGAGTTATTTTCTCCTCAAACCGTGCATTTCTAAGACTTGGCTTTCTTATCACCCATCCATCCAACCACTGCTCCCCTCCTCCCTTCACCCAGACACTCTCTCTTAGCCATCACCTGTCACTGGACATCAGCAGGAATATGGCCAGAGGAATAAGAGGAATTTTCTTCTTCTAAACTCTCTATGGCCTAGCTTCAGCTCTCAGGGATAGGTCAAAGCAGAACCTTTCTGTAGGTTGAAATGGTAATTTTCAGCTGACATACGCAGCAGGGTATGATGGAGAAATCAGGCACTTCCTCAGCCAGGGTCAAGAGAAGCAAGTACAGGTGAGATTCAGCCAGTCTCTCAATGGAGTCTCAAGTTAGGATTCACGTAAGGATGACGACACGATAGCACTGGGCATCTTTATCTTGTTTTTCCTTATTTTTAAAAAAATTGTATATATTCGTGGGGTACAAGTGCAGTTTTGCTACATTGATATATTGCACTGTAGTGAAGTGAGGGCCTTCACAGCACCCATCACTGGAGCAACGGCATTGTACCCACCAGTAACCTCCCATCACCCACCCTCTCCTTCCCATCATTCCATACTCTGCTTCCGTGTGTACACATTATTATAAGTGAACTATAAGACACTTGTAAGCATCTTTCTGTGTCTGGGTTGTTTCACTTAAGATAATGGCCTCCAGTTCCATCCATGTTGCTGTAAAACACATGATTTCATTCTTTTTTTATGGCTGAATAGTATTCCATTGTATACATAGACCACATTTTCTTTCCAGGTTCAGAACTAGAGAAGTCAGGAAAAGAAGCTGTTTGGAGGTTAAATTCAACTTATACATACTGACTTTAAGGAGCCAATGGGACAGCTCCTGAAGATGGTTAGCATATATACAACATATACCATGTTTTGCGAGTGTAAATAAATACAGCTATATTACCGAAGATTTGGGGCTAAGTTTTCAACATTCCCTTCACTATTTAGATTTTCATGAGTAATAGTGGTAGGGATAGAAACAAATGTTGACAATAAAATTATTATGACAGGATGAATCATGTATTTAATATTGGTTATTTTCAGTTGGGAAAACTTGCCAGTATGCTGCGTAATTCTGACAATTACCGATATGTGTGTGTGCCTCTATTCTGCAGTCTTAAGGGATCAGATCTTGACTCTGAAGAACCAGTCAAAGTTGAGGAACCTGCACCCATAAAGAAGCCCCCAAAAGAACAAAGAAGTATTAAAGAAATGCCGTTTATAACTTGTGATGAGTTTAATGGTATTCCTGCGTAAGTATTTAAGAAAAATTTTAATGTTCAACTCTTTAAAAATCAACATAGACTCCCTGGTGGTCTAGTGGCTAGGATTTAATAATCAACATACATCATTGTTCAAATCATAAAGCTTGATTATATTAATCGGAATATGCTGTTTGAATATTGACCTTTTCTAAAATAGTTTTATACTATGAAAATGTAAGAAATTTTTGAAGATGCTGAAAATCATGTTTTTTGTTTCATTGCAAAACCTCATTTCATAGAGAGATCCAGAGATGGATCAGTTTATTGCTTAGGTCTTCTCCAGGACCATTTTGTTGTGGTTTTCTTTGTACCCTGTCTTGTCCTGCTCCTCCTCCTTTTGTCTCCTCCCTCTTTCATTCTCTGAATGGACAGTAGTTTTTGCATAGCACTAGAGTGCTGTGAGTTGTATACTTTAATGTTAAAATTTTTCTTTCCTTTCCTCACAAACGTTTAAAAATGTTTAACTAAACTTATAGTTAATCAGTCCGTTTGAATCAGAATTTGAGAGCTTATTTTAAATTGTAATGTTAATTCTCCATAGGTGGAGAATGGAGATTAATGCATCCAAACATAATTAGAGAAGATAAACACTGATGTGTTGTCATCTCTGTTTAATTTTTCAGCTCTTGAGATGTGTCTAGTTTATTTCGAAGTTAACAAAGTTTTTTTTAGAAAGGGGGTACTGTCGTTTTGCTACTATACAAAGTCATCATACTTACATTTTTCAAGGAAAGTAATTTTATATGATGATTATTTTAAAAAATAATTAACCGTATACTTTGTTACAGGTACATGAAATCCCGTTTAACCTATTGTAAAATTAATGAAGTTATTAAAGAAATCAACAAGGCAGTAATTAGTAAATATAAGATTCTACATCA